CGCCAAATTGCACATTTCAGTTGCTTGAAAGTAAAAACATTGTTTTGAAATGCTGGTGTTAATAATGGAAATATTAAAAAGAAATGAAATACTTAGCTGTATTGTAGGGCATGGTTGCCTCATTTTTCTTCTTTTAACTTACCTGGAGGAAATGATTGGCTGCAACACCCATACATTACCATAGAAAGTGGGTCTGGGCCTGCATCAGCGCTATTGGTCATATCATGCCCCATGTAAAGGTGACTGTGGGCTTATCTGGAGGTATACTCTTTTTCAAGATACACGGGTGTTTGAGGTGTGTCAGGATAGGCCACAGGGTGTCCTGAACTGAGCCCTAATATCTCCAGAGCCCCTCAGCTCTGTTGACACATCTTGTCATCTGACTCATGGATCCGCCTCCCTCCCTTCACTCTGCCCTCTGGTCATGTCACCTCAGAGAAGCCTCTGTGGCTTCTGGCCCACAGCTGAAGTGGCAGCCCCACCACTTCTGGTTCCTTTTTTGCCTCACAGTATCAGTTACTGTTTGACCACAGACCCTGGCCCATGGTAGTCTTTCACTAAAAGAATTGGACGAGAATGTCAGAATATACAGCCAGGTCTCCTCACCCAATTGTCCCCTGCCCACATCCCTGCCCCTAGAAGATACTCATCTTTGAAGTGATGAAGTTGAAGGACAAGCAGGAGTGGGTAGACTTCTGGGTTTTGTTCTTGGATTAGCTGTCAAACTTCCTGTCCCATTTCAGAGCAGTTTAGTAATGGAAGGGGGAAGTTCTGAGCAGTGCATAATGAGAAAGACCCGGCCTGGCTGCAGGTCAGCCTACCTGGCTGGTGCTCAACTTGGTATTGTCTCTCCCTTCCTCTCCTCTAACTCTTGGTACTGATCCCTTCATTTTAGTTTTTCCCTCATCTTGTGTTTTATGTTTTATTGTTTTTGTTTGTTTTGTTTTTTTTTGCCACAAGGGGCAAACATTTAAATCAAAAGTCAGAAGTTTAGATCATTTTGAAGAGCTGCAGATGAGTGGTCTTGCCTTGCCATTTGTTTTATTGGTCTGCTTCCTGCCCTTTCTGGCTTGGTCTAAATTTAAGACTCCATGCAGCTGAGAAGAGTGATGGGGCTGCCATGGTGCTGTCCAGAGGCCCAGGGCTTCCCAATGACATTGCATTATGGAGAAGCTATAATAACATTCTGTTCTTCAGCTTCCTCTTCTGTTGCACAGGGAACACCAGAGGGACAGAAGTGGAGTTGAGTGACTGTTTCCCAGGCTGCAGGCTGCCCTTATCCCCCTGCTCCCCAGTGGGGAGGTCAGGAGCAGGTTGCTCTTCCACATCACCTGTCTTAAGGACCTAATTACAGTTCCTATGGGATAAGGAAACTGAGGTAGAGGAGATGCTAAGTTGATCCACCAGCACTCTGGGCACACTTGATGTATGAGGACATGACAAACGGAAGGATCTGGGTCAGAACCTGCAGCTCTGGCCACTGTCAGGCCCCTGCCGTCCCCTCATGTGCCCATTTGTTCTTTCTGTCTTTATTTCTCCCTTCTTAAGTTAGGTATCACTTTAACATGAGGGTTATGGATATAGAGGTTATAGTAGAAGCTAGGTTCTCATCAAACCCACTTCCTCTTCCAAGGTGCACAAATAACCTACATCTCAGCCCTTTGGCTTCCATGTAAGGCCATATGACTGGTTCTTGCCCTTCGAATGTGGGTGTGCCTTCTCCATGCTGTCTAACTTTTAGGCCTTGTAGTTGAAGATGGTGGTGTCACAAAATGGAAGGAGCTTGGGTCCCCGAATGACTGTGTGGAGCAGAGGTTCTCTGCCAGCCACATTGGATTGCAATGCTGAGCTACTGATATTTGGGGACTGTTTGTTACGACAGTTAGCCTATCCTAATACCTGTGCAATTTTCAGTTCAGAAAGAAGAGAGAGCTCTCCAGTCTGGGTAAGGGCAGCCAGCCAGGGGGCTTTTAATGGTGTTCCAGGCAAGAGGGAGCTGTAGAGATGGAAGGCTCTGAGCTTCTTTCTGTTCTCATGTTCTGGGATTTCTCCATTTCCATCTTACTGACTCTTGGTGCTCTGTATATCAACCTCCTGTGGCCAACACAGACCACATCCCTGAACGGAATGTTGGATTCCCATCCCATTCTTCTAGATTCTTTTCCTGGACCATTTGCCTTTCTCTATCACTTTTTAGACTTGAATCCCTTTCAAGGCACAGCTCAAAAACCACCTCTATGATCACTCCATGTGTCAGTGAGCCATCATATGAGGGTCTTTACTCTCTTACTGAGTCATAAGGTGCATAAGGGAGAACTTTTTTTAAAAAAAGATTTCATTTATTTTTAGACATAGGGGAAGGGAGGGAGAAAGAGAGGGAGGAAAACATCAATGTGAGGAAGAAATCGATTGGTTGTCTTTTGCATGGTCCCTGACCTGGGACTGAACCCACAACCTACGCATGTGCCCCGACTGGGAATCAAATCAGTGACCTTTCATTTCACAGGATGATGCCCAACCAACTGAGCCATATGGGCCAGCCAGGGTAAGCAAAATTTCTTGATCTTTACACATACTTGTTTCCTACACAGGCCCTAGCTGTACATACCAGGCACTCAGAAAATATTTGTTAGATGAATGAAAGGGAAGAACAGATTAATGAAATCATAAATGAATGAGCTACTTAGCTAGATTTTTAAGTGTCTCCACCCATTGGGTCCACTCCATTTTTCTAGTCTTCATTTCTATTACCCCCAACCAGAAAAACCCCATTCTGAATGGGTTGGTCTGTCCACAGACTCATGAATATACCGGACTTTTCCTTCCTTTCACTCCCCACCCTCACCAGTCCCCCAGCCCCTTCCCTACCACTGTCACCATTCAGGATCCAGATGAAATCTAACCTCCTCCAACAGTTTCTGTGACAACTGTGTTCTAGCAAAATGTCTTGAACTTTACATTTTAGGATTGTTCATCTGCACCACACAGATCCATCCTCTGTCCACTGGGTACTGGCTCATGTACTTTGTTGTCCGTTCATGTGTGTGACTCTTGATTCTTCAAATAGAATCCAAGAGCTGGATCTTTCACAGTGCTGAGCAAAGAGATTAGCAGGGAATAGCTGTTCAGTACAAGGATACTTGCTGATGGCTGGATATCTGGGATCTCTCATCCCTTTTGTCATTTTTAAGTAAACTCAGATTGGAGGACAAATACATGCACACTCATTGTTTCTTCTTTCTATACCTTTCCTTTCTTCTCCCTCTGCCCAGATCTGCAGTAATTGGGTGGGCTGCTAATGGTGGAGGAATCAGAAGCTAAGCCAGGAAGCTTTAGACTTGGTTGATGTGGGACCAGGTTCTCAAGCAAGAAAGTGGCTTAGGCCCTGGCACGTGTGCCTCAGCGGATTGGGCACCAGCCTGAGAGCTGAGAGGTTGCCAGTTCAGTTTCTAGTCAGGGCACTTTCCTGGGTTGTGGGCCAGGTCCCCAGTTGGGGGTATGTGAGAGGCAACCTAATCTCTCATACATTGATGTTTCTCTCCCTCTCTTTCTCCCTCCTTCCCCCTGTCTCTGAAAGTAAACTAAAAAAAAGAAAGAAAGAAGGTGGCTCAGAAGAAGCAGTGTTTAGGGCCCCATTTTGTTATTAGCAAATATTTATTTTTCAGTTGACTCCCTTTTGCCACCCACCAGGCTTAGCTCTCCCACCATGGGCACAGAACATGCAAATTAATTGTGTCATTACCTTGGCCAAACATTATTAGGGATGTTAACTTGCTTTGAAATCCATATAATGTGTTACAAAATTAAACAAAAGATTTTTGTTATCCAGATAACTCTTTCCAATAGTGTGGATTTTGGAAAGTTGATGGTTTAGCCATGAGAATCCAGAAATTGTATAAGGTTCAAATGAAAGGAATACTAACTTTTCAGGTCTGGTGCCTGCCTTGTAGATACATGCAAATATTTTATTAACCACCATTTCCCACTGGGTTCACTGAAGGATTACAGGAAATCAGTGAACTGTTCTTGGTGTATACTCTAGTCACCCATAGATTGGGGCTACCATACAGTGTGATGTTCAGAATACATAAACAGAAAGCTTGATAAAGCACACCAAATAATCACTGTTGACCTCAGCAACTTTATTAACAAATTTATTTCCCTAATTGAGTAACACATCTCAGTGCTTAACTCAAGGGCATTGTAATAGGTTTCCGCACTGTAGAGGAAGGAATTAATTAGAACCATTTGCTCTTTGTTCCATACTTAGTCTTGCCTACTGGTCTTGTAAACATTGCACCTGGTTTCCTCAGTCCTCCAGGCTCTTCACTTCTGACCCTCCCCCGCATAAATACATAGAAAGCTGTGAGTGTAGTTTTAACATCAGTGGCTCCTCCTCGTGCACATTCCACCTCTATTGAAAACTGCATTTCATGGTTAGATTCAGAGTCATTTTGAGGTCAGGTTCTGGCAGAATCATTTCTTCCAATAGGTACTTGGAAGCCTGTAAAGAGACCTTTCTCTCCACAAGCAAAAATTGAGAACGTGGGGTGTTGGTTTGCGAGTGTTGTGTCTGGGATTGTGCTTGTCCACTCAGAACCTTGGTACAAAGCTGGTGAGATGGGTAGGTCTGTCCCACTTCATCCTGTCCCACCATAGTGCCTCTTAGGAAGGTAAGAGGCATTCATTACCTCTGTCTTCCCTGCCCTGGGAGTGAGCAGCTTTCTTTGACTTTTCAAGTAAGGTTTTTGTTTTACAGCTTGCAAGGACTGCAGCATGACAGCAAGAAAGCATTTTTAAATGCAAACACTGCAGGGTCTCTCTGAAATGCCGCCTCTATAACTCATGTGCCCCTGCAATCTACTTCAGGGTGCTGTCCTTTCACACTGAACTGTCCAGTCTATGGTGACCAGCGTTAGCACAAGATACTAGGTATGTGAATTACCTCCAGAGCTGATTTCTTTAGCAGCTCTTAATATAGCCTGCCATGTATAGTATAGTGATGGCTTTTGGATGTAGATATGATTATTACAAAGACATCTAAGGGGTGTCTAGACTATTCTATCGGTGGGTCCCTTTTAAGATCTGTACTGCAGAAAAATCTGGATGGGCCCAACAAGTATTATTCTCACTCCTGGATATCCTGCAAGATCTGGATGAGGTTTTCTAGGCCAAAAATATAGCCAGGATCTGGTCCATCATAGGTGGTGTGCTCATTCCAGGAGCCCTTGTATGTCGTGTGAGCAAAGTCGATCATCCGGATGTCAACTTTGGGGAAACCCAGAGGAGAGCTGCCGTGAGCAGTCTGAGGAGCCTCCTGAGGATGCAGGCCACGTGGGGCTCTTTGCAGCGGCTCCTGCCCATCGTATATGATGAGGAGAGAGCTGGAGTAGAAGCGGTATGAACTCTGGCTCCTGATGACCAAGAGGAGGGCCTGGAGCTGGCACTGGATGGGCCCCAGCAGCTCTGTCCGAAGGCGGGTTCCATCATGCAGGAACTGGTAGAGGGCTTGTCTGAACCCCTCAACTGAGAGTTTTCTCCCATAGTACTTGTCTTTGCAGAGAAAGTGCTTCTTATCAATTTGATAAACCTTAGGTTAAGGAGAAGAAAGAGAAAATGCAAAGAATTACAAACAAAAAATCTCACCTGCTGCAATTGCAGAGTCATAAGAACATATATAAACAGTTCAAGAGGATGCAGGCAAGAAGGGCTGAAACAAACAGATGATGTGCTTTCACCATGCACTGTTTAGTTCTGCATCTAATATGCTTTCTGTACCAGCCTCTAATAGGAGTCCGAGGTCCAAAGAACCTTCACCCTACAGAGGTGACCCTCCACCCATGTGGGAAAGGGCTGGATCTCCTTTCTTGTGAATATCTAATGTCAACCTCCAAACCGTGATTTAAACCCTGGCTTCTGGTCCCTCTGCAAATATTAGCAAACTCAAGGTGGAAAACTTTAGTAGGAATGTGAAATCACAGCCGATGGCCTTAGAAAGCCAATTAGATTCAATTTTTCCCGACAAAGTTTTATAAAGTCCTCCTTCTGCAGATTCTAAGGAAACAATAACGACCCTTGGGATACAGTGGGGTGAATTTTTTGAGGATAAAAGACAGGCTGGATCAGCTGTGGACAGAGGTTTGGGGCAGCCTGTGCAGCTGAGGGGGGTACTGGATAGAGGAGGGTGGTTCACAGCAGCTCTGTGGACCTCACCTTGGCACCAGGTCCTCTCCCCTCCCCTCCCATCCTCTCCCCTATCATGTCTTGGCCACCAGAGGGAGCAGATACTGATGGGGGGATAGTGCAGCACCCCCATTTCTTTCAGATGGCACAGGCAGCAGCAGAGACTCAACTGAGGTCAGCAGCTGGCATGGCCAGAGAATGACTTGGCATGGCTCTGCCTGGCACACCTGGGAAGGGCTGCCAGCACCTGGCCAGGACAGTTTCTTGGGCCTTTTCTGCCTTCAGGTTACATGACATATTTACAGAAAACCAGTGTTGAAAAAAGTCAGATACGATAGACTTGGTGTTGCCTTTGGAGAGTTGGAGATCAGCTGCTAAATTAGCCGTCATAAATACATGACAGGCATCGCTTTCTAAATAAATCAATTTCAGAAGGTTTGAGGTCCAGAGAGAGATTCCATTTACACCACAAATCATCATACTCCATCCTCTTGAGGACTGCATTCCAAGCCTTTCAAGGGACATCTGTGCAACAAATTTATAGGCACAACTTGCAGCTTCAAGGGGTGGCAGTTTCAATTAAGGAAAGCTATAACATTTACCATCAAATTGGTGTCTGGTTTTACTTTGAGTAGCTAGGCTATGCGAAAGTTTATTTCCTCCTGCTCTGCAGCCTCTGCCAAGAGCCACATCAGAGCAGCAAAAATGAAGCGAGGAGTGTGGGCAATAAAAATTAACTATTCATTTGCCTGGGCCTAGCAGGTTATAACCTTCCTACTTTGTTAACCAGAACAGGTAGCAAGAAGCAGAAAAGGTAAGGTAAGAAGAGAGAATTGCTAATAAAAATTCAGAGACAAACTGCCTTACAACATCTGAGAAGGAGTTGTTCAGCTTTATCACTCAGAGAAAGAGGGATTGACAGGGCGCACGGGGAAGCTCTTCCTGAGTTCTTTGCCTGGCCCGTGCTCACACACTGCATCAGAGCTCTGCTCTCAATATGGGCAGGTCATGTGGCTACTGTGGAAAGTTTCAATTGCCAAAGACCTGAGACCAATTTAAAAAATGGTGGGGTTTTGATACTACTGTCTTGAAAGGTGCTCTTTAAAAGACCCAGCGTGTCATAGACCAGGATGTGCATTTCCTTGGGAGAAGAGGGGCCCCCGGTTCCTCCTCTGATGCTCCCCCTACGTGAGACGCTCCGCAGGGGGCGGTGGTGTCTGGATAGGAGGCATCCTGCCCCACAGTGGACATGCCGAGATGCCCTGCCCTGCGGTGGGCCCTCCGCCACCCACCTGCATGCCGCAGATGCGCACACCCAGGCAGGCCGAGGTGCTCTGTGCACACTTTGTCATGTGGCGGGCCTTCTTCTCCTCAGATGCATCGTCCCCGTGCTGCCTGGTCCCCATCTTCAGGTCCAAGACACAGGGGTGCTTGTACTGTGACACAACATTTTCCAGCAAGAGGAACCCTGGTCGCTCTAAGTTAAGGAAGAGCCCGAGGAGATTAGGCTGCAGCCTCACAGGTGGCAGGCAGCGCCCCTTCGAAGCTGGCCTGGCCGGAGATCCCTTGCTCTGAGTGCTGTTCTTGCATTCCAGACTGGCCCGTGGTCACTAGAAAGAATTCTGCATGGTAACTTTGTAGCTGTTTTAAGTCCTGGTATTTTGAGGGACTTTATGAGTATGTAAGCTGCTTTTCCTTTTTTGCACTAAGGTTGAGATTTATTACTATTTTTTATTTTGTAAATTTTTAATTGCAGTTGTCCCCCTTTTTCCCCCATTACTCTCCCCTGCCGTACCCTCCCTCTACCCCCACATTCAGTCCTCCCCCCGCACCATCACTCCCCACCCGTGAGGTTGAAATTTAAATGCAGGACTGAAATCCCTGACAGGCCTTGTTTACATTTTATAGCAGAAAATCATAAGGCTAAAATCTGTAGTCACTAAATGGGCCAATACCTTTTGGAAGAAGTGGGTTGATGTTAGCTTTGGAGATGAGTTGCAGGAATATTAATTTCAGTGGAGTAATTACATTGCAAACGCTTCTTAAGGATTAACTTTGCAGATGTGTCTTAGTAAATACTGTGAAATCAGTCACCCTTTGCAGGAAGGAGCCCAGTGGTGATGGAAAGACATTTCAAGCCTAAATTTGCTCCCTGAAAACATGGTAGCCTAAGGAGAAGGGGGACTACCTCCCCTGGGACCCACCCATGGGCACTTCCCTAAGGGAGGAGCCACACCCCTTTCTCCCCATCGGCTCTGTGGGAAGACCCCTGTGGGGTGAATTTGGAGGCGTAGAAGGGTGGCAGTCAGTATTCCTATCTGCCTGCAGAGACCCAGCCCCGCTGGCAGAGAGCAGTGGCCCACCAGAGGCACTGCATTCAGTTTAATTCCCAGTCTGGCTCTCCCATAATCTCTGAGTTTTCTTTTGGAGAGAACTGATTTCTTCTATGTCCCAGGCTTGAGAGCTCCTGCCTCCAACTCTCCCTCACTTCCCCCTCCCTTGGCCCTCCCCACAACCCCTCTCCACCCCCCATAGGTGAACCTTCCTGCCCCGTGGATCATGTGGTGGAGAAGCTGGCAAGGATACGGTGCCGCCTGTTCTCTGGGTACTCGGTGCAGAGGCGGGTCAGGTGGGCCTGGTGGCAGTGCAGGCCCCATGGGTTAAAGCTCCTTCTCTCGGCCTGGTTCCCATTAGCATCTTCCACCAGGGAGGGTACGTGGGCGCTGAGGTGGAACTCGGACCTCAGGAGCCCCGTGGCCGGGCTGCAGGCGAGGGAAGCACAGGACAGTCAGGGGAGCTGGAGCCACAGGTCTGGGACAAGGGCCCCTTTCCTGTGGCTGACCGCATTCTCCTCGGCTGAACTCTGACACAGGCTGTCCCCGACGGCTCGCCAGGGCACTGCAGGGCCTCAGAGTGCCCTTCCTGCCCATCAGTCCCTGGCACCAGCTCTAGCCATGCTGTAGCCCTCCTGAAGGGACTCTGCACTCACATTAACTCACTAGAACATGTCACCCCCTCGGAGGACTAAGATGGTTTAAAGTCACTTGTCAGTGATGTAGATTATTATCCCACTATTGAGGCTATACACTATGGGCACAACAACCCTGCAGGGAATCAGGCTTGGGGTTTAATCTGTTACCCTTGAGACAAAATGTCATAGGGGGTGGGAATCACGCATCCTTGGTACCCCTCTCTCCTGTCCTCTGCATCTCTGGTTCCCCATCTGTGAAATGCAGACAATGGGCACCCACTTCCTGATGCTGAGCCATGAGACGCAATTATCTACTGTGCTCCTTGGGGAAGGGAGGTACTTTCACAGTATTAGCTCCCTTTTGTTTTCCCATAAATGTTAAAAAATCCCCAGGCATCCTTCTCATATGAGAAAGGTCAGCTGACATTATCAGAGGTTTTTGGAGACCTCTCCAGGGATCTTGGTGCCCCGAACCGCCTGCGCCTCCGAGACCCCACTGAGTGTTGTGTTGGCTTCTCCTCATCCCTTCGCAGCTGCTATGGAAAGATGATTTCCGAGCGACATTAGCCACACTTTTCCTTCGTGTCAACTATTCTGAGGTTTCTGCTGTGCACGTTTCCCCCCAGAGCCTTCATGGTCTCAGTGAAACAGGTATTGAATTAAACAAATATGTGCCAAATGCCTGCTCTGTATAGGGCTCTGCCATGTTCATCAGCGTCCGAGATGAATGCATCGCAGCCCTCCTTCCAGAAGAGGCATGAAGAAGATGTATTCCTTCTTCTGTTCACATTAGTTATTCTAGACAGAACCTTCATCTGAATTTCTCATTCTCTCCGCCACGGCCTTCATGGGGGAGCCATTGGCCTTGGACCCAGTGGGAGTAGTGCTGGTCCCTGCTAGGGATGAGCCCCAGCTTCTGTCATCCTGCCAAGTGGCCCTCACCTCTCCTCGAGCGAGTGTGTCAGCTGGGTGTGCTGCCACTGGGAGAGGGGACCTGCGCCGCCACTGCTGCTCGTGGTCTGCTGGAGCTTCTGCCATATCGCCGCCGCTGCTGACCCTGAGGAGACCTTGAAGGACTCCCGGTTCTCCTTCAGTGGGTTGGCAACCAAGCTGAGGTGGCCTAGGCTGTCTTTTTGGAGGTGAACTGTGATGGTGCCTGTGGAGCACATGAGGGAAGGCAAGGGGTGGAGAAACCAGGTGGAATTTACCTGAGTGGACACGTTACAATGGGTAATGTCTTCTTGAAATACAGTTTAATGACAATGGTCAACTTTTCCTTTTCCCCAACTCTTCTCTCAAGGAAGCTATGGGGACTGACCTGCTCCAGAATGAGCCCAGAGCTGTGGAGCCTGCAGAAAATAGCCTTGGGTTGATCTTGGCACAGCCTCTGCTTTATGGCGCCTCTGCCCCTTCATGCTTTAACAGAGCCAGCCTGTACATTCTGTCCTCCCAGCTCCTCTGTACACAGTCACACCTTCCCAGTCACACCATAGCTGCGCCAGTGGGACCCAAGCTTGCTGCGTCAGAACTAGTCTTCTGTAAAGGGGGCCCCCTCCCAAAGTAGCAATGAGGGAAGTGGGGGCCCATTCATTCCTCACCCTTGTGTGCCTCCTTCATTGTCCTTTTTCTCCCCTCCATTTGTCTGTATCTGACCAGCTTTTTCCAGGAACCCTCCGGCCACCTGCAGGGGCTCAGGACTCTGTCAGGCCTTCATTCCACCCTCCCCAGCTCTGGTTTTGACAATGGTGCTCACTACTTCCTTTGGTTAGATGCACAGCACATAAAGATTATTGGTAGAACGTGGCCCTTTGACATAAGAAAACTTGTGAGATTCCCCCAACTTACGGGACCTCCTCCTCCACAGTAAAAGTGAAGAGTGCGAGGAAACCCTGTGCTACGCGGGCTCCTCCTCCAGAACGGCAGCCAGACCTGGTAATCAGCACTGGCACATATGTTCACGGCTCTGTGGCTGCTCCCTTTGGGTTTCTCACTCAGGCTGGGTGAGGAAGGCAGAGTCCAGGGCTCAGCAGCCCTGTCTCCCCAGAGTCCTGGTGAAGAGGGAACGACCCTCCTGGCCATGGCACAAGAGATCACCACACAGATAGTTCTGTGAGAGCCAGGTCTCCAAGTGCTTGTGGCCGCCTTCTCGCCTGGTCAATTCTACCGTCTCCTCACTTTAGCCCTTCAGGCCTGGAGGGGTGAGAGCTTTCCAGTGCTGCTGGTCCCTGGTGCCTCAAGGTCCCCAGTTGTTACCTTAATTAACCCTTATGCTAATAGGTCCTTTCAAAAGTGCTCTTCATTTGAACCTCTCCGCTGGGACCCAGACTGAGAGGATGGGTTGCATGTGATTCTGTCCTCCAAAATATTTACTTCCTCCCCTGGCCACCTGATCACCTCCTCAGCGTAAGTGGTAATTTCAGCTGAGTAAGCTCTCAAGGCAGCTGAGTTCCTGCCTGTGTCCCGCCGAGCCCTCTGGGGCTGGTCAGTGCACTCATTTTCAGCCTGCTCTGTAATTCAGCAAGTCGCTCTTCAGAGCCATCTGTGCCTAGCTCAGCGGTCTCCCCAGGCCAGTTCTGTCATCTCAGATTCCCAGTGCCCTAATTTCGTAGCCTGAGAGTGACATTCAGTTTTCTCCCGCTCCTAAAGCTCATCCCAGGCTCCTGTATCCTGTAAAGTAACAATGATACAACTATAATACTGTACCAGTACCTGACATTTATGGTTTATCTGAAGACCAAAATGCATCCCTGGACCAGGCCCATAGCAGCAGTCTGCTCATGAGAGCAGGGCTGATGGCGGGCTGGGGAGGCGACTGCGCAGTGATCACTACCTCCATGCCTTGCACACCTACTGTGCCCCAGCACGGTGTGCTTTTCATTTGTTATCGCTGTGCTGTAGCAAGCCTGACTGCTCGCCGGGGTTCAGAGAGAATAACTTGCCCAAGGTCACACAGGTGTAGCACTCTGAGAAGGCCACACCAGACCTAGATGTGGAAGAAGGAACAAGTTGTGAGATGGAGCTGAGGACTTTCTGGGGAGACTCTCTTGTCACACTGTGTTTGCCCATGTGTGGATGAGAACACACTTGCTGTGTCCCCAGTCACGTTTGGGTCATTCTGTTCTATGGAGCAGAGAGAGAACCTGTGACCCCACCATCCTGTGAGGGTCATTGGTGCAGGTGCTGGGAGCACCAGGAAGCCCACGGATGTGGGGTTTATACTGCCAGCCCCATTTCCTTGTGTGGGGGTCGCAGTGCTTATTCTAGGGAGTGGCACTGACCTGGAAACTGTGGCCAGGATCCCGAGCCCACCTTCTGTGTGTGAGAATGGGGAGAACTCGCTGGCCTCCGTGATCATGCTTGGGCTGCTCAGAGCCTCCTGGTTGCCTGGGGAGCCTAGGAAGGTATGCGGCCAAGGACAAGGCCCTTCGGCATCTTGCAAAGTTTAAGTTACCAGCCCTTTTCCCACTCATGAGGCTGTGGTGATGGCCCTGCCAATAGCCATGGTCTCAGGGAGCCTGGGCCTGAGAGACAAGGAATGTAACCTTCACCCACTTTTCCGGCCTCCAGCTCTCATCTGATCTCATTTGTTCTGAGTGTCTAAATAAACGGAGGTGAGTGGAGGTGCAAAAAACCCAAAACCAATAAAATCCAAAAGTCATTTCTATTTCTCATATTGTCAGCTGCACAGCCTGGCTCCGTGTTCCCGCTTTTTCGCTCCATATTCCTGCACATCTCTGACTGGCTCTGTCTCAGTTTATATGTCTTCTCTCCCTCCCACAGACCCCTCTGTGGCTCAGCCCAGCCCCTCTGAAGCCTGGGACCCAGCACAGAGAGGGCCTTGCAAACCAGCCTCGAGTTGCCTGCCCATGACAAAAGCAGCATGTCAGTGGAATCCAGACTGCTAGGGACTTGGACTGTTGCTTTTGTCAAGTGCCGTGTTGGCCCTGACCTGGCCTCTGGCTTGCCATGTGTGTCCATGGGGACCAGGCCTCAGAGGCACATGGGTTCCCAGAACTCGGCTGCCTGCTTACCAGCCCTCCCCAGGCACCTCGACCTGCCACCGTGCCAGCTGGGCAGACAAGTGTGTACTGCCGCGATTGACATGCCCAGAGCATCTCAGCAATTTCAGTTTGGCCAAGCAGCTTCCTCAGCCTCTGAATATTCTGTTATGTATTTATTTTTAAGCTCACGAGAGTGTTTATTTGCTGCTGTCTGTAATGTGAATCTGGCTCCTCCATTAATCCACTAGACCTAGGAGCATATCCTCACTCACCCAAAGTTGACAGGCAGACTGTGAGGCAGAGGGACACAGCCCAAGATGCTGTCTTCACCCAGGCGCCCAGCAGAAAATCCAGGGCGAGCTCCTGGCTAGGGGAGGTTTCCCCTTGGGAATGACACCCCTGCCCAGCACCCCCTGAGGCTGTCGCAGGGCCAGGTGGTGACAGGGAGAGGTGTGCACTATGGTGTGCAGTGGCCACTTCAGAAACAGCCCTGAGGCTATTCCCATCAGGGAGAAAAAGGAAGACCCCTGTGGCCGCCTTGTAGGCACTCGAGTGCTCCTGACCTGAGGTCACTAGCTCAGTGGTCCTTCCTCGTTGGCCTAGATGACCCCCTGAGCACTGGCATCCGAGGAGTCCATCTCTTCAGTATGAGTAGCTGGTGAAGCCAAAAGCCACACTTGGGAGTCAGACCTGGGAGCTTTGAGTCCCGGCTCTGCCCCCACTGGCTGTGTGCCCTGAGGCAAGTCAGGTAAGCTCTCTGTGCCTCAGCTTCCTTACCTGTGAATTGGGGATAACAGTAGTCCCAATCTTGGAGGGTTGTGGTGCCCACAAACTACTTACAGGTAGATGTGTTGGGTAGTGAGGGAACTGTAAGGGTTAACTGATGTTATTTTTCTTACCATATGACACCTGGCAGCTGCACAGCCTGAGAGCCCTTTGAGGGTCTCTTCCCCACTAAAACCTGACCTCAGGTACCTGTCCCAAGCGTCTGAGAATGAATGTCCTATTCTGGTGTCTGATATTCTAGTGTCTCTGTAGACTTGCATTTCCTTAGTGGGCCTGGATTGTGGCTAGTGAGTGGATCAGTGTTTCTGCATCATTGGAAGCTCATATTTGGAGGTCACCCCAGCCCAGGGACTCTGCCTCACCCTCACCCTCACCTTCATCAGGGCTGCAGTGTCTCACCTGGGTGGTATCTGCAGTTCTCTGGTGCAGTCGTTTGCAAGAACCATCTCCTGAGTGAAGCCCAAGGCAGGGACTGAAGCATCCCCTGTGGCCGGTGATGTGTAACTATGAGCCATGGTTCAAATTAATCTCTCACCTTAGCAGGGCTCCACGGTGGTTGGACCTGGGGATGGGCACAGCCTGAAGGGGGAAGCAGGGCAGGGGACGGGTCTGGACAGTAGACCAGTGACTGAGAGGGCCCGAGCGTGGGGCAGTCCTTCCCTGGGAGGAAAGGGCACGGGCAGACAGGGCGCAGGCGAGCAGCAGGATAGGGTCCGGAGACCGAGCACTCTCTCCCACTCTCCTGCTTTGCCTGTGCTGGCCCTGGCAGTCTGTCTCAGCTTCAGAGCTGTGTCAGAGGATCGTGAAATGCCACAGGCAGGAGGCCACTCCACACAAGGACCTGCCACCCCTTTGCCAGGTTGAGTTCAGTTTTGAAAGGACAGACATTAATTCCAGTGGGTGCTCCGACAAGATGAGCAGTAACCCACAAGCCATGGTCAATACCGCGTGGGGCCCAGGAGCCCCCAGAGGAGGCCTGTCTGGGCTGTGCTCCAGCTGTGCACCCCTGTGTCTCAGTAATGCTCAGCTCTCCTGTCTCAGCCTGTCTGGGGGGCCCCACGGGCCAGGACTGAAGAATGGGGGCCTCCTAGGGCTCAGGCCTTGGCCCCCTACCAGTGGGTCTTAATTTGGAACATGCTGAATACAGATTTCTGAGCCCTAACCCCAGGGAATCAGATTCCCAGGTCTAGGATAGGGCCCAGGAATCTGCATATATACACATACACACAAACACATACCCATACTCTCTCTCTCTCTCTCTCTCTCTCTCCAGTGATACTGGTAAAGTTGGCTGATCTCAGATCACGCTGAGAAATGCTGATGTAGACAGACTCCATCCTTCCCAGTTTTGCAATGCAATCATTGCAATGCAAGTGAGTTTTTGACTGACTGCTTTGGATGTTATCATTGCCTTCACTACAGGTACTTGGACAAGGAGGGCAGAAGCTTTGCAATCACAGCATCTAAAATCCTTTAAAGGAGGTCTTTTCTCTGAGCACCTATGCCATTGTGGGGCTTGTGGCTGGCAGAGTCCTGCCCTGAGCCCTGTGAACCACATCTACAAAAGGCTGGGTAGGAACAGAACAGCGCAGAGGCTCTGCCTGGAGGTCTTGCCTGGAGGCCTGAAATAGGTAGCCCTTCCCCACCAGCCTTCTCCCCTATGAACCCACCTTGTGCTCAGATCGGAGCACACACTGTTTCATGCTCAATTTCCCCAGGTCCACCTGGAAGGCCGCTGTTGCCTCTGGCTTTGCCCCTGGATGAGGGGGCAGGAATTCTGGTTTCCTAAACCTGCTATGTCCCAGCTCTTCTGTGTCATGTCCTAGGCCTGAGGCTCCTGCCACCCACCTGAGTCTCTAGCATAAGGTAAAGGAGGCTTCTACCTTTACCAGAGTGCATGGTTGGGTCCTGTGTTTACCAGCCTCATTCACAGGACCCAACCATGCACTCTCAAAGCACAGGCTGGAATGCCGCATCTTACCTCTTTCTTAATTCCTCAAAGCTGGGTGCCTTGAGGTAATTCGAAAGGACTCCCCAAATGCTATTATACTCCAGACCTGGGGACATGAAGAGCTCAGAGGAACTAGGACAGTGAAGGCCAGCTGGTCTGCAGGAGGGGGCATGTCTCCATGGCGACTGTCACATACACCACAGTGCTTGAGGAAGCAGTGGGTGCATGCAGACGAGCCTGGCCCAGAGTGGTGGCCCGAGTCACGGCTGCTGCCCGGACACTCACCTTTGTACCGTGGGGTGAACTGCTTCATGGCCAGTGGCAGGGATTCGTAGAACCTCTGCTCCTGGGACACGAGGGGCTTGCACACAGTGTCCTCGTCATATTTCATGACACTCAGGTGCCCCCCGACCTGGTGCAGGAAGGGCTCCAGCAGCACGCCCATCCTGGCATCCCCAGCTTCCACACCATCCTGCACAACCATGGCCCGAGGTAGAAGGAGCAGCTCCAGGACAGAGGCAGGGCTGTCAGAGGTCCTCAGCCTTCTCCTTGGCATTCGTCGTTGTCATAGCATAATTTTCTTCCTAGCTGCGGGCTCTCAGTGGGGACCCTGGAAAGCAGAGGAGGGTGGATATGATGTGAGTGAGACGCAGTGGTGGCGACATGGCACGGAAGCGCCCACAGTTCCCAGGCACCACCCACCACCCACGGGAGTTAATCAGACTGTAAACAGGCATCGATTACTACTGGAGTAATGTGTTACAAGGCACTGCTGACAGTGGTTGCCCCCAGGGAGCAGGGCTGAAAGGAAGACTTCTTCAAATACTGTTTTATACCTTTTGCATTTAAATATTCAAACATTTTTTAAAAAAATCAAACAAGACACACAAACATAGCCTTCCGGGGTGGGAGACTGTCAAATTCTCATACCATGCTGCCGGCCTTCCTTGGGGAACATTGGTTCCAGGCCCAAGAAGGGAGCAGAGTCTCTGCTGTTGGGGCACTCAGCTTCTAGCAGGGGTTGGGGGTGCAGGAATGCTTCATTTTTGTACAGCATAGCTGTGCACCATTGATTTTCATCATGGCTGTTTGACCTTGGGAAGTTACTAAACACCTTTGGCTTCAGTGTTCCCATCCGTGGAATGGGATAAGAATGCTTACCATGTGGAGTAAGGGACAGGATTGAGATAAAACCTGTGAAAAGGTTAGCCCAGGCCCCAGAGCTAAGTGCTCAATAAATGGGATTAATCATTATTATTTCTGACATTATTGCCTTGGTGGGTCATATTTCCCACCTGGGTTGTGGGGAAGGCAGGCTTTCTCACCACCACTTTGCAAATGAAGAACGCAAGGCCTGAAACGCCTTGCCTGGGGGCCGGCAGGGCCCAGGAGCAGAGATGGAAGGAAAGTGGGCTCCCTTTCTCTGGGCCTCATCCTCTGCCACCTGCTGCTCTCTTGTCCTCCCATGGGCACGCTTGCCGGACTTCAGGCAAATGCTGGGACTCTGGGCTAGAAATGCAGCTCCTAGAGATGTCCTGACTTTGTGTCAGGAGAGTGCCAAGGAGACACTTCGAGAGAGGCTCTTCTGACCATATCCATTGTGTCAGATAGAACATTCTCACAGCGGTGCTCGTCACTGCTGAGTTATTAATACTCTCCTCCCAGCTGAGGCTGTGACCAGGCTGGGCAGCGCTAGGCATGATGAACCCTCTAAATGATGTTTAGTCCAGACCGTGGGCATGGTTGTCTGGTTCTAAGCACAGCAGTGCCTGTCAGTTTGTTCAGGATCCTGGCTCAGAGAGGCTCCTGCCACCAGCACAGACCTCCAGCACCAGGAAACATTGAAATCCTCAGTCTAGCTCACCTGTTACCAGCCAGGCAGCCTCTCCCACACTGGCTACTTCTACAGGCCACAGAGTGCCCTGCCCTTCAGGAAGGGGAGGGGGTATTCCTCCTAGTTTGTGCATTTGCTTTGCCAGATGCAGCGTGCAGCTTCCAGAGCTGCCTTTGTGGCTGGAGCCTGTGTGGGGAGGGTGGCGTTGCCGAGGCCTGAGGGTGCCAGGCCTGTGCCTGAAACCACAGCCCAAGCCTTTCCTCAGCTCTGCTCCAAGGCTGCAGAGGTTAGCCCTCTTGGGAACCTGTTTTGGGAGCTGAGAAAAGAAGTTGGTGGGAGGCATCTAGATGGGGAGGGAAATCAGAAATCAGCCCAAGGATAAGTTGATGTCACTGATGCTTGGCAAACCCAGTCCTACTTGCAAATTTGGCGAAGGCCAGAAAGAAGAAAGAAAAACCAAGGTGGCTCAGCACGACTCCTCTTGCTGGGTTTGCTTATATGTCATTGTTTGCCAGCTGACCTGTCCCTGGGGAGAGGGAGGTAGAGGCTCTCCTGGTAATCAGAGGGACAGCCGTGCTGTAAAATTCATCAATAGCCAGTCCTGGAAGGAGCCTGGGCCCTGCCCCTCACACCACCTCCCTGGGCCAGGCGCAGACCGGGCGCAGCTGAGCAGGCCCAGCTCCCCAGGCGCACAGGCAATGTCCCCTCAGCACCGCGTGCTCCCGCGCTTGGCAGCCCACTGCCTTTCCCCGCACCTTCATCTCCCTAAGGAGTTCTGTGGACACGGATGTTGCCTCACAGTGGCAGCGTGAGAAGGAATCAATAATAAAGGTAACACGTGTAGCACTTGACATGTGCCGGGCAGTGTTCTAGGTGCTTTATATAGATGAACCCAGTAAAGCTTTCACACCTACTCTAGGAGGTGGTAGTGTCAGCCCATTTTACAGATGAGGAAAATAAAGCACAGAGAAGGTTAAGTAACTTGCCTGTGTGTACCCAGCTAGTGTGGGGAGAACAGGGACTTGAACATTAGCCCCAGAGTACGTTTACCTGCCACACGGCAGGGAGGCTGAGGGATCTTGTTTATCTACTTTGAGAGGAATTAGAGCCCGAAGGAGGCTGGGACTTGACCAAAGCCACCTACAAGTCACTGGCTGTGCTGGGACAGTACCCAGGTTTTCTTGTCCCCAAGCCCTGGTCTCTCCTACCCTAATGATAGTAAGTGTATGTCCTAGTGTCCTAGTGGCTCCACACCTCAGAAACCATTAGGAGAGGTCAGTCCACCTAGAGCTGGGGCATGGTATTGATCTTCTTGGGGCTTTCTGGCTGGAGGTGTCAACCAGACCTGAGAGGCACCGTCATTCCCAGAAATTCTCAGGAGCCCTGGCCGAACCTTCTCAGAGTGGAGTGAGCCAGGGTAACGCTGGGCCTCCAAGACACAAACCCTTGCCCCTAGACTTGGGATGGGTTGGTAGCAGGGGGATGACTGCCGCAGAGCCCCCTGTACTTTTCAAAAAGCTGGGGAAACTGGGGTCTTTCCCTCAAGGGTCACTGCCGGTGGTATATTAAGTGACATCTTCTCAGACTCCCCCTGCTCCTGGGCTGTGTGGCTGTGATTCCGACAGCTTGGTGGGGACGGGTGGAGGGAGGGTGCGTGGGCAGTGGTGCCAGCAGCAGAGCGCCTGCCTGAGCTGGGCAGGTGGGCTTCGCGGCTGCTCGGGGAGGTGTTCTGTGGCCTCCCGTTGGCACTGGTGCTCACCTTGGAGCCCAGAGGAAGCATAAGATTTCCCATCTGGCTTCATATGTGTAGCCTCCTGCTCTGTGGGACAAAGCTAGGGAACTCCATTCTCCCATTCCTCCCTTGGAAGTCCCACATAAATAATTCAAGTCCACAGACCTTTCTCAACCCAGACCTTCCTTTTGCCACGTGCAGGCACCTCTGTCATTGGCATGGGCCTTGGCCTCTGGGTCCGTGTCTGTTTCTTAACAGCACTAGGCAAGGCAACAGGAGCCTGGTTCTGTTCCAGGCTTTCCCACCAGCTTGCTGAGGCCCTTAGGATGCACCGAGTAAGGACCCTGAGCTTGGTTTCCCACCCACAGCCACAGCCTCGTCGTGATGTTCAGAAGACAAAACACATAGCATTCCTTTGTGGAGGCCTCTTCTCGAGCATCTCCCCCACCACGTCTGTCACTGTGTGGGTGATTCTCAAGATTGACTCAGCTTGGGTGCTGGGAAGGCAGGTGAGATGCTTGCCTGGGACAGGACCTCACACCCGCTCTGGCACTTGCTGAATACCCTGGGCTCCCTCTAGCGCTTCGAAGGGAGACACCTGCCCCTTTCTCCAGCCCATGCCTCCTCTCACAGTCCCACAGCCCAGACCCGGTGCCCACTATCCCCCTAGTGTTCCTTGGGGAGGGACAAGAGGGAGTTAGGATGAGGGAGGGAGGGAGGAAAGAAGCGAGATGCCCCCACAGAGAGTTCAGCTTAAAGCCCCCTGCCCCCAGGAAAAGTGGACAAATGGCCCCAGGTTGGTGTCCTCCTGCCCTGTCACTGGGTTATGTCCTGAGTGACATCACTCTGGGCCTTCCTCTAGGAGATTCGAGAGCTAGTTTCTCCAAGGGGGGCGGGGGAGCTGGTCATTGAGCTGGTTAAAAGAGGCCCCAGGCTGTCTGTGTCAGCAGAGCCTGCGGGGCCTGGGTGACAGCCAGCCTGCTGTGTGGTTGCAGGACACTGTGGTCTGAAAGGAGGGCCATGACCAGCAGGTCTGCAGTTATATTTGGCTGCCAGAGTGGGGACAGACAACACCACCAGGAATGCCAGACGCTGCACGTCACACTGAGGTGAGTGCGTTGTGGCTGCATGACCAGCTGGCACACTTTCCTTCCGGGGAGCCTGTGTGCATGTGACCCCTACCCACATGCTAGATCCGAGTTCATTAAAACTTACGGAACACGTTTTTTGGTTCTGTTTCAATTTTGCCACTCCCATTTTAGGAAAGATGACAGGCAAAACCACAAATCAAGCTTGTCAAGGTTTAAATTTGGACTAAATTAGCCACGGACTATATCTTATCAAAGCTTGTCAGCTCCGGGAACAAGTTGGCTGACTGTGGCCACTGTCGAGGCTGCTCACAAACGTCCTGGTTCCTGGTGTTCCTTGTGGGAACATGGCACCATTGCACTTCCCTTGCACTTTGAAGGTGTGGCCACACGATTTGCTCCGGCTGATGTGATGCAGATGGGAGCGATGGGTCACCTCCAGTGGGAGCTCTTAAGGGCAAGCAGTTCCGCATTCTCCTTCCCTGGCCGTGGTCACCCTGGAAGCACAGTTGCTCCCCAAGTGACTACATGTTGAATGTGTAGTATGACAAAGAACTAAATCTCCATCATATCAGGCCACTGAGATTTGGGGGTGGTTTGTTAGGCGGTACAGCCTAGTCTGTCACCAGCCCACAGCTAGATACCCAGTACGGGGTCCTTAAGTTGAAAGCGACCTCACTTGAGCAAGGCGCTCAGATAATTCATCACACAAAGATATCTGCACAGTAATAGCCATCACTCCTATTGAGCCTCTACTGTGGACCGTTGGCTTTAGTTCCCACCTCTGTTTCTCAAGAGAATCTTTTTCAGGTGGAGAAGAGTGAAGGGCTTTCCCGAGGTCCAGAGCTTGAACACTGGAGCTGGGATTGTCTCAGGCTCCTGCTGGGTCCGCCCCACAGCACAGTCTTCCTCTGGGTCTTGAGACCCACGTCAGGCTCTCAGGCCAGGGTCCTGTGCCTCAGCGGCCTACCCCAGGAATGGGAGACCTCCTAGAGCTTGACCGGCTGGGCGGTGAGGGCGCCACAGCCAGGGGCAGCATGCTGCAGTGGCGGCTCGCCCAGGCGCTGGGCAGCAGGTGGGTTCACAGTGCCCCAGGTGACGGGCGCGCTCACGGCCGGTGGAGACCTTACCCAGAGCCACACCACCACCAGAATCTCTGCAGACTCCAAATGTAATACCCATGGAGTACAATCATTTCTCAAGTATATGCAAACACTTTGGTGATTACCGAAATACAAATTCGTTTAAAGGCATTACTTGGCGTTCCTTTTCCTTGTAGTTTTTATCATCATCTATTTTCCCAATCAACAGATACTAAAAATATAATGAGTATTGCAGGGGGACTCATAGGGAAAAATTATGTTGAAAAATGGGTCCTAGTTGAAAAGGTTAGGAGAAATACTGCTGTCACTGAGACGGTGGTGGTATAGGGGGCTTGGAGGGGGTGTGGGGGTGAGTGGTGGCCTGGCCTGGGGGAGCTTGGGGAGGGCCTGCTTGGGGAGTGTGTGCGCAGGGAGCCATAGGCAAGAGGGAGGATGCTGCGTGGGCCTGGCCCAGGGTCATGCCCCCCCACACTGGGCTGGGGCCTTGGCATGGAGGGGACAGAGAAGGTACCTGGCCATGCTGATTGGAAGTGACTGTCTGGTTCCAGCTCGCCATAGGGAGGAGGGAGTCTCCTGAGCTCACTGGGGTGTGGGAGCCTTTGGGGCCACCTCCAGTAAGTCTGGAGGAGGGGGCATCCTGGGGCGGAGATAATTCAGAAACAACTTGTATCAAAAGAAGATGGATAGCAACGGGTGTCAGGCTGCAGACTGCACAGTCAGGGGCAGAATGTACATGGCCTGCCCTCTCACCTCTGAAGCTCTACTGTCCATTTGCAGGCCTCTTGGAGCCAGAGGTTTGGTACAAGAGGTTTGGTGCAGAGCGCAAGGAAGCATTCTTTAAATCTGTTAGAGATGAAAGAGCCAGAAAACCATTTAAAGCCACTCAGGTGGTGAGGGGGAGGATTTTGGTGTTTCTCCTGTGGTGGAGGGTTATGTATGATCTGGGGCCATCCAGGCTGGGAAAACACAAGGTTATTTTCTGGAGAAAAAAAATCACATGTTAAAACCCATTCTAAAATGATTCAAGGGCAATAGGCCTGGGTGTCCTCTATCTCTGCATGGTCCCCAGCCTGGTGGGATCTAAATATGGAAGGCAGGGGGACTTGACACATCACCTCCCCAGCTGTGGCTGAAATACGCGGCTTCAGAGTGTCCATTTCTCAGGAGGCTGGAGCTCCAGAATCACAGAGCAATGCTTCACATTCATCAGTTGCAACAACTTATTTCAAGGCTGATTTTATCCTTTGAGGGAAGATTTTTTTTCGCCCTCTTCTTTTCTCTTAACATTTAAAATCTCCCAGCGTTCCTCCAGCTTGAGGACCAAATGTGATTTTAATGCAGTGATTATTAGTTTAGAAGCCCTTCAACCACGAACAAATGTCCTCAGCAGCACCAGCAATGTTCTGAGCATACTGTCAGGGCCGGAGATGCGCAGGGCAAAGATGACTCAGGAAGCTGAGCCGCTGGAAAGACTGCTCTGGGGAAGGCAGAGGCTGGCAGGGGTTCCTCCCTCCCCGGGCCCTAATGTACCCTGACCTCATCACAGCACCCTGGGTCCTCGGGCACCCTGGGCAGGACCAGCAACCATTCCACCGGCCCCTCCAAGGCACACCTCTTGAAGCTGCAACCACGATCTTAGATATTGCCAAACCCAGACCTGCACATTTCCTAACCTAACACCTTGCCCCACACCTTTCCCTAGGGAATATGGCCAGTCACCTGTCTTGTGGAAGAGTCTTATGAGCAAGAGATAGAACATCTGGTCCATGGTTAGGATGGCAACTTTATGGCTGCAAGAAGAAACAGCTCTTTCAGGGTAAGAACAAAACAGTGGGATAGACCAGTGTGTGGGTGAGTGTGTAAATGATTGAGTGTGTGTGTGGTGTCAAGGCACTTTAGGCCACCAAGCAGAGCTGGCCAGCTGAAGAACGAGCCTCTACTGGAAGAACGGGAGCGAGCAAGCAAGGCTTTCCCCAGCAGAGGGCAGCAGCAGACACACAGCCACCTAGAGGCCAAAACGTGCAGCCAGCAAGCACCTCCTGTCCTGGTGACCAGGGGATGCAATCCTGAACCGCCCTGGGTTTGCCAGGGGTGTCCTCTGACAGCCCAGCGAAGGGTCCCTGCCTTGCAGACGACTTTTAGCTCAGAAGTTGTCGTCACGATTGATCACCTCATGTTCTCTTCTTGCCACCCCCTGCTTTTTCTAAAGGTTGTTTAGCTGGGAAGCTTCTTGCCTTGGATGAGGCACATTCTGAGAACTGGGGTGGCTGGCTTGATTCACCAGGGAGGGACCCCAAAACCAGGAACAGGGCTTGTTGGGGAGGGAGAGGAGGGGTGAGGGTGGACCATAGTCTTCAGCACCTCCACTCAACAGTTCCCTCCTGGGCCAGGTAGGCCCAGGGCTGGAGGAGGAAGAGAAACCAGCATGAGGTAAGGGGTTGCCAATGTGGCACTGGGTGTGTGGGTCACCCCACCCTCCCCACCGCTCGCTCTAGCCACTGCCCTGAACAACCCTATGCGTCAATGCGCAATGCTATAAAGTTGATTGGTGTTCCTGTGGCTGCTGGGCAACAAGGCAACAACCACCCAGATTTCTGCCTGGGCGGGATTTATTCCTGTGCTCTGCTCAGAGCAGGAAAAAGCAGGGGCAAGCTGCTGGCCACTGCGTGGGTCTGGCCTGCACTCCCAGGGTGCCCTGGAGAGGGAGACAGGAAGGGTCCCAGGGGCCACAGGCCATTTGTAGGAGTTTCTCAGACCCCTGGTAAGGAGCTGGCTCTGGGGGAGCATGGCAGGGGGAGGGGCCCCAGGAGACCTGGCTCTGCCCTACAGTCCCTGTCCTTTCCTCTCTGGGCCTCAGTTTCCCTATCCATACTGAGAGCTGTCTGACTCAGCCATGTTCTTACCCTCCTATGGGACAACTGAACCCTCAATTCAGCAAGTCAATGTGGGGAAGACTGAGTGGGGGGTGGTTGGGAGAGATCCTTCCAGATTGAAAGAGACTTAGAAGGCATACTGACCAGATGCACCTTGATTGATCCTGGTCTAAACAAAGCATTAAAAACATTTAGAGGGCAATTGGGGAAATGCGAATATGGACTGGATATAGATGTTCTCAGTCGTTAATTTTATTGTGGAATAATGACATTAGGGTTACGTAAGAACCTTCGTGGGGGTGGGGAATGCAAGGATACCTTAGCATAACTGATGAAGCAAATATGGCAAAACTCAAACAATTGCTTAAATCCAGACTCAAGATATACAGTTGTTCACTATATCAGTCCCTCTACCTTTTCCTATATAGGCTTAAAGCTTTTCATAGTAAAAGGTTAAAAACAAACTGGTAGCTCTTAAGAGCTGTAGAAGCCCAGGCCCTGTCCCCCCAGGCCTGAATCCCTGGGGAAGGGCTTGGCATGGATGTGTTTAGGTCCCCAGAGATCCTGAGGACCATGGCAGACTCAGGGTCAGGTCTCAGGTCCAGGAGAGCCCGTGGGAGAGGGGACCCAAGGACTCTGCCACTGCCCAAGGCAGGGGTCCTGGTGGCGACATGTCTCTGATGCCCGGGGCCCACTGCACCCCATTCCATGGGGGGCTCCCTGCACCCAGTTCCCAGGCGCCTGCCCACAGACGCTGATGTCATCCTAGCCCTGTGGTCCCGCCGGGTGGAAGGGTGAGGCTCCTGGGACAGGACATGCTGGGACAGGACATTCCCAGGCTCAGGGGGGTGGTGCCCACTTCTCCTGGGGCAGCTGCTGCTTCTGGGACCGTGTGGAGTACGAATCATTGGCTCCAACCCCTGCACCTGCCCCTACAGCATCCTCTGTCGTCCCAGCTCAGCCCAGCACCCCCAGCACCCTGCCTTCCTTCAGGGGCAGCAAGGAGGAGAGGGGTGGAGTTTCTCTAGTGGAGAGGGAGAGAAGCAAATGACAGAATTTCTTAGTTGCTGAACTGTTGCGACTCGCTCCCCCAGTATATACACAGACAGACACCTCCCCCGGGGAGATCCTTAAACAGCCCTGGATAGAGATGAGGCCCACCCCCTTCAGACTCCATGGCACCATCAGAGGTTCAGCAAGCCCAGCCCAGCCCTATGCCCCAGGGCACCACTCACCAGGGCCTCCTTCCTGGTGGGGTCTCGGGGAGTGTGTAGAAGGGAGGGTCCACGGGGAAGTAAGCCCCTCTCAGTGTCTACTGATTGCAGGTGTTGGGCGAAGGCCTTCCCAGAGTCCAATGTAGAGAAGGCACTGTCCACCATAGCACTGGTGGAGAGGTCTGCCCAGAGGGCCAGGCTATAGTGGCCTGGGGAGGGGAGGTCACCTGACCCTAGGGAAGAGCTGGCAGGGGCTGGCATGTCCAGCTGTCAGTTGGTATTTGCTGCTCTGGGCAGGGAGGGGAAGGAAGAGGAGGAAGAGGACTAGTGGACTGAGAGGGAAGAGTCCTATTCCGCTGCCTGGATGGATGTCAGGCCCTGGCAACCAAGGGCCATTTGCCAAAGGCCCCTGGTTATTTTTTGATCCCTTGTTCATGGGGTAAGCCTCGGGGTAGGCTCATATTCCCTTCCCCCTAGTCTCCTTGCCCTCACCCCATACCCCACCACCTCGCTGTTTATTTTCCCCAAGATGTGGCTGCCTGAGGGAAAGGCACGTCATGTAACAAGACAGTCAGCCAATCAACAAATCAGCTTGAAGACAGGCTGACCCAGGGACCTGCCAGAACAGTGCCTGCTGTCAGGGGTCTGCAGTCATGGGGGGTGGGGCGGGGTGGTGAGGGTGTTCAGCAAGTCAAATTCACTGTGTTGGTTCTGGGGGGGGGCCCTCACCTCCTTAGGAGGAGGAGGGGAGGCATCCTGGAGGAAGTGTACCCCCTTTTGGGTTTGGGGGAAGGTGAGAAGAGTGATCTAAGTAAAGGAAGAGCTCTCCAATGCCCAGGGGCAGCAACAGGGGGGCAGGGGCAGAGAGGCATAGGCCTTCGGAGCAGCCGGAGCTGCAATGAGTGGGAAGTGATGACGGAGGAGGCTGGGGGGGGTGCGGGAAGGCAGGCCTCCCAGGGCTCTGCTGGCTCTTTCTGCCAGGAAGCGCCAGGCTTACTCGGGTTTGTGTTCAGAGCTCCCTCCTTCGAGGAGAGCAGATTGGGTAGCATGGATCAAGGGCAGGCAGGCAGATGTGAGGCCCCAGGTCCTGAGCTCCAGGTGGATCTAGCCTGAGTGGGAGAGAGGGCGGTGGGGAGGAAGGGAGATACTGAGGAGTCAGCCTCGATTAAGTCTGGTGATACATGGGCAGGGACAGATGGAATAGAGGCAAAGCACAGGGGTTTGTCAAGGGACAGGTTTCAGGTCTGAGTGAGCCTGGACCAAGTGCTAGGAAGGTCTGAAGGCTGCCCTTTGGGAAACTCAAGCCAGCTGAGTCTGTGGCTGCGGTTCTCCTCAGCACTGGGTGCCCCACTTGCTTGGGGCCCAGCTGTCCCTTCCTGGGCTTCTCTGTGTGGCCCCTTGGCACTCAGCGGCTCAGCAGCAGCCTTGGGGCTCAGCCCCTTTTTGCCCCCTATTCTGGGCCAGCCTCTGACTCTGGGCTACACCCTGTGTCCTTGATTTCTCCAGGGTCCCCTTCCCCATCTGCTGGTTCTAACAAGGCCCCAGACCTGTGGTTTCAGTACCGAGCCATACTGCAATTTCCATCTCCCCCCTTTGGCATTTCCACTGTCCATGGAGAACCCACTTCATATAGAGCCTCTTCCCCTCACTGCTCATCACCGAGCAGAGGAGCCCGGGTTTTGAGTGCAGGACAAGCACCCAGGTCTCCTGACGCTCATCCCAGAGGTCCTCTCTGCCACTGTCCACTCAGCACGCCCTGCACCCGCTCCTGGCCCATCATAGCAGCAAAGGACAAGGTGCCCGGGGATGACCACAACAAATCTGGGGGCCGCCCACCTGCCACCCTGGCTCCCCTCCTATGGCAGACACCCTATCCGCTCCCCATTTCAAGTCCTCCCTAGACCCAGGCAGGGCAGAACCTGCAGGTGTCACAGGGATTCGTTGGTATCCTGAGGTCTGGTTTAAAGTGGGCTGAGGATCCCATGCATGGTCCCCCTCTCCCTCCCAGTCCAGGGCAGAGGATCGCATTTCACCTTTCACCGGGAAGGCAGAGGCCAGGCCGCCGTGGGGGCCTCCCTCACACTGCCCAGCCATGTTCTGGGCTCCGATTACCTGGCCCTGGAAAAGAAGGCATGACGTCCTTTCCCCCCCGGCCCTCCCCCACCTACCTCCCCTTTGCCACCTGGCTGGGAAAGTCGATGTTCTGGGAGCCCTAGGACCACCACTGGGCTGAGCTGTGAGGCCTTTTGGGGTGCAGAAGGGATGGGACCTCCATCTGAGCTGGGTGGCCAGGAGGGGCTGAACCTGGGTGAACCAGGGCCTCATTCAGGGAGGGTCAGTCCACATACCAGTACCTGGTTTCTGTTTTTGTTGTGTTATTGTAAAGAGCAAGATTCCATACTGACTTCTTATTCATCCATTTATTTATCAACAGTATTGAGCCCCTAATATGTGATCTGTGATGCACGGCAGTAAATAAAATACAAAGGCCTCACTGTCCCGGAGCTAGGGATCTTGTGTTTCCTGTTACGAAACAAGCCACTTTATTTCTGTTTCCTGACTGTAGCCAAGTTCCCTCCATGGTCTTTTTCCGAAACAGCTTCGTCTGCAAGATGCCTGCTGCTAAGCCTCTTTCCATAATCATGTCTTCGACCCACCTCTGCCTTATGACAACTCCCGGCCAACCCTGGGCCTGGCCCTTGTCTCTCCTCCAGGAAATCAGCCCTAACTAGCTTGGCTCTTCTGTGAGCACAGCATTTCAGACCAGCTCTTAGATACCACCACTTGGAGGCAGAATGCCTGGGGCTCCTGAGCACACACCAGCTACTTGGGGATAAGGCGTGGGCTAGTTTCCACCTGGGGCTCCCCTTTGCCCCTCCCACCCCAGCCTGACTGACCATTTAGGACCTTCCCCTTCCCTGTTGCCCTCCCTGGAAGTTCATCTGTCATTACATCCATCCTGTGGACTTCATGTTCCAAAGTGGATCCCTTTTCTCCACCTCCACAGCCACCACCCAGGCTGGCCCACCACCTCCGTCTCCTGCACATGGATGATTCCGCACAGTGTCTCCCTTCTCCTCACACCTCTGCTCCTACAATCCATTCTCCCCAGAGAGACGTTTTGAAACAACTTGAGTCACTTCACTTACCTGTTTGATACTCTTCAGCGACTCCTTATCCTTAGAATACAATCCAAAGCCCTCCCCAGGCCTGAGCCCTGCCCCTTCCTCAGCATCAGATGTCTCCTTACCTCTGTGGGCCAGCCACACCTTGCACTGGGCCTTTGCACTTTCTGTCCCTTCTCCCTGGGATGCCTTGCCCTCACCTTTCCACCTGGCTAATTTCTGTTCATCTTTCAGATGCCAGCGCAAGCATCCAAGAAGCCCTCCTTGATTTCACTGACATGTCTGCCCCCAGCACCTTTCTTTAGACGCACTTATCCCAGACACAGTTGCATTATTTGCTCCTTGCATATTTCTCTTCCTCAAGGGTGATGACTCGGCTTCTTTTGCCCCACAATGGATCCCCAGCACGTAGCACAATGCCAGCCTGCAATACCTGTTTGGTGAATGAATGAATGTGCGAACTCATTCTGGCTTCTGGCTTTCCCTGCCATCATCTCCATGCTGTGGCTTTGGCAACCAAGGGTGTATGGAGTCAGAAGCCACCCACCGCTGGGGTCCTCAGATTTCCTTCCCTCTTCCAGACCCCTGGCACAGAAGATTCGGCCTGCTTGTGGCTACCCTGTGAAACTCTTCCTAGCCACTCCCCCATCCCACAACTACCCTCATAACCCAGTTTTTCCACTCTAGAGACAACAACAACCCTCCGTGTTCCAGGACATGTCATCACTCCCTTCCCTTGGTGTAAACAGCGTGGCTGCCCTGACGCTGCCAAAGGGTCGAGATTCCAGCAACAGCCCCTCCTTCCCTGGCTGGGCCCCCTCTTGCTGCACCCCAGCTGGGCAGGCAGCCCTCCCCGTCCTCCTCCTCCTTCCCTTCCCTGGCCAAGTGAAGGCCTCCAGGACGAGGGTGAAGACGGACCCGTGCACCGCCTCCTCCCCTCGGACGGCTCAAAGGGAAAGCACTGTCTCATGATACCCAACAATTCTCTTTGTCTTCCTCCTTTTCCTGCCTGTTCATTATTTCCTCTTTTTCTCTTTGGTGGTTCTTTTCTCTCTCTCTCACGTTCTCTTGTTATCTTTTCTGTTTTTGCTGATTCCCCTTGTTCTCATTCTGCTGTCTCCAGCCATGCGTGAGTGCAGTTTGAGCGTACATGTGCGCATGAGTGCGAATGCATGACTGCGAGTGCACATGTGTGCAAAAATGTGCCTGCCTGAGTGTACATGTGTGCACAAGTATGTATGCAAGTGTGAGTGTATGCGTGTGAATGAGCGCAAGTATGTGTGTAAGTGTGCAGGTGTGCACGAGTGTGAGTGTGAATGTGTGCAGGTGTGCACAAGTACACAGTGTGCATATGTATGAATGTGCATTCAAGTGTGTGTGAGTGCCTTGACGCAGGGAGCATGTTGAGCGAACAGGTGTTTCCCAATTAGTGGGCCTTTGGGAAGGGGGAGACTGGGGAGGGGAGGGCATGGGGTACTTGCCCAGAGACTTGGGCAAGGAGGGACCTCACACAAGCCCCAAGTGCCCCAAACTGACTCCCAGAACAAGGTCCAAGAAATGGGTGACACATTGATCTCACTCACCTGCATTCCCAGTTCCCCCTGAGCCATCCAGGGCCTCCCTGGATGGCAGTGCCCTGGGCCTCCGGTGGTCAGCCACCTGCTCCATCGGTGCCACCCCCCTCTAGAAGGACAGGATGGAGCGTAGGCTGATGGAGGTCGCTGTCCAGCCCCTCACAGTGAGAGGAGGCCGGCAGCCTGGCAGCGGGCAGCTCCTCCAGAACCGTGGCTGTGCCAGACTGGCCCAGCTCCCAGTTCCCGACCCCACCCAGGAACTTCTAGCCTGGATCTCAGCCAGGGTTCTGCCCCAGAGCCTGATTGGGCTCCTGTTGGGCTCCCCCTGTGGGAGGAGGGGCACCAAGCAACGGAAGCCACTCCCCACTCCTCAGCCTCCACCTGCCCTACAATCTGAGGAGAATGTGCAAGAGTGCGGGGGGGGGGGGGGGGGAGGTGCGGGGGAGAGGGACAGGTGTTAAGCCCTCTGTAAATCAGCAGGGCTCCCTTAACTAGGAAGCTGCAGGATGTCATCAACCAGCCCTGGGAGCGAAGTCAGGAGCACCTGACATGCCGGTCAGGTGCTGGTGTGAATGTGTGGGGGCGGGGGAGGCACTCAGGGAGCCACCACGGCCACAGGGCCAGCACGGCCATCATTCAGCAGGGACTCTTCACAGGCGCACATTCCCAGATTTGATCCTCACTCAAATGTGAGGTTGGAGCACTGTCCTCATATTATAGCTGAGAAACAGAGGCCCAGAGAGGCCCATGCCATGTGGCTAGTAAGTGGCAGAGCCGGTATTTGAACCTGGGCCCCGCAAGAACACATCTGCACACCAGGGGAAAGCGAAGGGTAATCCCTTCCTTCCCCCGCCAAGCCCAGGGATGAGGGATGGGTGGCAGGGTGGGGGTGGGGGTGGGGAAGGAGGTGTTGGCTGGTCCCCACACATGAAATGGACATAGGTAGGAGACTTGGCACGGGCTGGTTCTCCCAGCACTGCTAGGTTCTGAGCCCTGTCCCCCAGCTCACATCTGGCTAAAGCTCAGAGAGGATACCACCCCAACACAGCTCTCAGGAGGGTAGGCTCCTGTAGCTGTTAATCTGAGGAAGAGCCAGCGTGTGGCACTGAGACCCCAGTTACATGCCATTGGTACTGATGTGCGTGTCTCTTTCAGCGATCTGTGTGTAGCATTTCCGAGGCCTCCCCTGTGGCTGACAAAAAAGGCCATCAGAGGTTGGGCCCCGCCCTGTCTGTGACTCCCCAGAGAACACGGCCACCCCTATCTCCTCAAGAGAACAGGCAGCCACCTGTCTTTCTGGCATGAGGGTTGAGGCCTGGGAAGAGCCCTGTCCCAGAGCACCTCCCCAGGGGAGGAACCCACCGCTCCTGTCCTTAGATTTAACAGCTTTGGTCAGAACAGTGCTTTACAGAAAGAAATGAAATCCCAGAATATCCGAGTAGAGGATCCTTCGGAGGCTGCTGGCTGCAATGTTTTCATTTTACAGGAGAAGAGAGGCCAGGCCAGGCTGCAAAGAGAGGAAAGGACCTACTCAGAGCTGCCTGGCTGCCAGTGGAAGAGCCATACTTGAACCCCAGTTCCCGACTGCCAGTCTTTTTGCTGCACAGGATGGAGGGCTGGCGAAGGCCATGGACCATGGATGTGGATACACCTGGTTTGAGCCCCAGCCCTGCCATTTCCTGGTGGTGTGATTTTGGACAAGCATCTTGACCTCACTGAGCCTCAGTTTCCTCATTATAAAATGGGGATAATTTTCTAAGGGTTATTGTGACATTTCAATGATATAATACAAATAAAAACCATTTAGCACAGTGCCTGCCTGACACAGGACTTCAAAATATTGGATGTTGTTGTGATAATTATTACTGGGTAACAAGGACTCATGTGATGGGCCTCAGTCTATGGGTGGAACTGCAGTGGCTACACTTGCCAACCCTGAACTCAGGTTCCTGCCTCACATGGTTATGGTGACAGTGACCCACTGAATTTGAGCCTGGGACTATCCCACTGATGCAGGACCCTCAGGCACCACCGAGGCTCAGTGGGAACACAAGGAGGGAGAGGTAAACCTGCCTGCTGTGGGGGCGGGGCTTCGGGCTTCCCAGAGGAGGTGGCTTCCAGGGTGGGCCTTGAGGGTGCACGGGAGTCCACAGGCAGAGGAGTGAATGAAGAAGATAGCAAGGTGAATAGTATCACGACGGCACGGAGGCATAGGAGACCGTGGCATTTCTGGAAACATTCAGGTGGCTGCAGAAGGGGTGGGTGCAGAGGCAGGTGGGGAGGGGACACTTATCTCTCCTCCCTTTCAGGAATGCTCAGATTTTGACCATGAGGCCAGGAACATGGCCTCTTGCAAGAGATACACTTGCCAGCTCACACAGACTTTTTCTGTCATTTCACAGATGAGGAGCCAGAGGCCTGCAGAGGGAGCGGATCCCCAGAGACCCCCAGCGGCGCAGATGGAGCCAGCTGGGGACCCAGCTCTGCTGACTGTCAGGCTGGAGGCTGGCTTTCAGACGTGGGTGGTAGGAGCCAGGGAGAATTTCCTTGGGGAACTGCGATACACAGCCGATGGTCCTGTGCTCTCAGGGAGGTCTGGACTGGGTCCAAGAGAGGGGTGGGCAGGGATGACAGCCTGGGGGTGCTGACGCCTGTTATTTATGATTCTCTGCGAGTCCTTCAGGGCCAAAAAGGTAATTGAATAAGTGAGCGTGAGCGAATGCAGGCGATCATTTAATTGTGGCAGAAAATGAAGCTGGTTGCAGCTGGGGGCCGCCAGCCCATTACCGCTGGCCTGGCTTCCGCTGAGCTGGGCAATCGGGGCTGGAGTGGCCATCTGTCCTTGGCCCGCCCCACCCTGCCCCCTGCTGGCTGTTCCTATGCCGGCAGAGCCCGAGGAGGTTAGTGGTCGGGGAGTTTGTTCTCTGGAGCTCACTGCTCATGCCCCATTCTCTGCCCCAGAAAGGCCCTCCGGGGCTGCTCCGGACACTGAGGGTGCTGGGAGGAACCTGGAGTGCAGGGGGTGCCCGGGGCCTGGCCACGGAAGCAGGGGTTCAGGTCTCGATGGTTGGAACAGGAGACAGACAAAGCCCTTCATGTGCCAGGCACTGTTTTAGTCACTAACTGTATCAGCTCAGTGAATCTTCCAATCACTCTGTGAGGGGAGTGCTATTATTATTTCCAGGTTTCACAGACAAACTGAGGTATGGCTTCTAACTCCTTGCACTGGATTGAGAAGCCCTGGGAAGGCTGAGAGTCCGTGGTGCTTGACGGGGCCTGCAGCAGTGAGACATAGTTAGGGCCTGGCCCTGCGAGCTTCCTCACCTCTTGTCCTGTTTCAGCCTTGCTGGCCCCATCACCTGCCCATCCAGGAAAGACCTAAGTTCAGAGGTGGGAGGAGGCCCTTCAGGCCTGGCCGCCTCAGTCCCCAGAGCTCTGGCCCTGGCTCCTCTGGTGCCCTTTACAGTCCTGAGGAGGCGGATAAAATTAGGCCTGGAATGTGAGAAGCCAGTTCATCTTCCCAGGCTGGGCAGCCATTAGGGCCCCAGGGCAATGCTGGCAAGACTGACCCGCGAGGCCAGGGCAGGGGCGGGGCTGGACCTAGACCCAAACTGCAGGTGAGCTCGGGCGCGTCCCTGGGCTCCCTATATTTTGTCTGACAGCCCTTCCTATGGCCCTGGGCCTCACTTCTGTGCTGTCACACAGGATGTGAATGCTCCCTGCCACACTCACCTGGTGTCCTGCAGTGAGGAGCTGCAGAGTCAAGAGCGGCTCCCCTTTTCTGAGCACCTACTCTGCACAAGGTGTTGTGTGTTTGTAATCCCATCAAAGGCTCACAAGGAACCGATGGGGTCATTGTTCAGTCAGCTGTTCATTCCATACAAGTTCACTGAACTTCTTTGTGCCAGGCACAGATCTGGGCGGTGGGGACTGAGCAGGGAACACAAATGACAAGAATGTTACCTGGGGGATAGACAGTTAAAATAAGTAAATCAAGGAGAAGGTAGATGGTGAGTGCAAGAAAAAAAAAAAAAAACAGTGGGAACAGCTGGGGAGTGTTGGGAGTTCCCATTTTAAATAAGGAGGCTAGGGAAGGCCTCACTGAGAAGGTGTCTTCTGAGCAGAGACTTGAGGAGATGAGATGCTGGAGTGTGGACCAGGGGAAGGATGCACTGGAGAGGCAGGGCAAGTGCAAAGGCCCTGGGGCAGGAAGGAGAAGGCCTGGCAGAGGGAAGAGGGGAGAGTGGTAGGAAATGTGGTCAGACGCGTGCGTGCGTGCGTGTGTGTGTGTGTGTGTGTGTGAGAGAGACAGAGACAGAGAGAGACTAGAGAGAGATTTTTGACTTCTACTTTGGGTGGATTAGAGCCAATCCTAATCCCAGAAGGAATGTGGTCTGACTTGGTTTGAACAAGATCGCTTTTGTTACTTGTTAGGGAACAAGTGGGGAACTGACTGTTGGGGGCAGGACCAGCTACATAATTTGCAAAGCCCAGTGCAAAATGAAACAGTGGAACCCCTGTTTAAAAATTATTAAGAACTTCAAGATGGAGCTCTGGCTGATGTGGCTCCATTGGTTGGAGTGTTGTCCCATAATGGAAAGGCTGTGGGTTTGATCCCCGTTTCCAGGTGTGTACAGGAGGCAACCAATCAATGTTTCTCTTGCATCGATGTTTCCCTCTCTCCTCTCTTCTCTCCCTTCCTCTCTCTCCTAAAGGAAGCAGTGGAAAATGTCCTTGGGTGAGGATTAAAAAAAAGAAAAAAGAATTTCAAGATGGCAACAGCAGAGCATTAAACCAGGGGCATGGTCCTCCTGAGCGTGGGACCCTGTGCCACCGACCGCTCAGGCTGTGTAGCTGGGAGCTGGGCCTGGGCTCAAAGGCAGAAGCAGGTTTTACAGTTGTCAGGCTGGAGGTGACAGGGGTGCAAGACAGGGGAGGCGGAGAGAGGTGGCCAAGTTATCCCCCTTTTGCAGGTGGGGAAACTAAGGTCTTAGGGACTATATGTAACTTGCCCAAGATTATGCAGCCAGTAAGAGGCCAAGCCAAGAGGAGAACCCAGTCAAAGGCGGGTACCCTGCTCTGCTTGGCACACCGGCTCGGTCTCCAGCCCGGCAGCCCGCTGCAGGGCGCCACGGACTCCTGCTGGCTGTTTTGCCCCAGCACAGGGGCCACTGGTGCCCGGAGCTGTTGGACCTGAAAGCCACTGCAGGCCTCCCCTCCTAACCTCTCTGTCCTGGTTTTAACTGCATTGCCCTCGCCAGCTGCCAGGCCCTCTGACCACTGCCTCCTCCCTGTGCCTGGCTGAACCTGCACCCCCATAATGGCGTCAGCCATCATCTCTCATGTGGAGGACACCCCCATCCTCTCTGTGCGCCTGGCCTCCCCAAGACACAGCCCTCCTCACAGCCCACCCGCACTGGGGCGGAGCCCCCAGAGGCCCTGGACCCTCCACTTCATACTGGAACTCCACTGGCAGGTGCTGCCCCCTCCCGGCCCAGACAGCCTGTGCAGCTGCCCGCTGCCCCCGCCCATGTCCGTTCTCCCTGACTGTGCTCACCCTGGTCTCTTGGCTGCCCCGCTGCCGTCAGCATCGTCTCACTCTGAGTTCTGATGCAGGCATCTGTATTTTTGCTTTCTCTTCCCTCCAACCTGCAGCCTCCACCCACCTGGGCTGTGAGCTCTCTCATGGGAGAGGAACATGTCTCCTTGTCTTTCCTTCATCCATCTATCCACATGGCACCTGCCACTTAGTAGGCACTGAGCTGGGTCTTATGTGATTTATAAAAATGAATCAGAGATGGGCTTCCAGTTAATCCACATGGTGGAGTGAACACTGTGTCTAATCCCCCTGGGTCAAAGGTGCGTGTCCGCAGGACAGAGAAGGAGAGGAGGGGACTGCAGACAAGACACTCAGCTTTGGGAGACAGAGATGGATGCACACCGGTAACCCACTGACGCCCAGCTTCTTCTGCTTTGGGGAGGGCCTGCAGTCAGGGATTCTAGGAGAGAGGGGGAGGCGTGTGACACCGGAGGCAGCTCAGTCCTGACAGAGGGAAAGAGGGGGAAGAGGTGGCAGCCCTCCCAGCCTGGCCCCGGAGCCAGCGCTGTCCTGTTTCTGCATCTGGGCAGTCAGCAGCCAGGCCTCGGCCTGCAGGGCCAGGGGTGCTCACAGGTGCAGTCCCCTTCAGACAGAAGAAGGACGGGGTGCCCGAGGCCCAGTCTGGACAGGACGACCATCACTTTCACAAGTATTTCAGTGACAGACTCTTGCCCATGCCACTCTTATCTGTCCAGGGAGGTGAGAAGCACAGCCTAGCTAGGCAGCCACTCCAGAACAGGGAAGGAGGGAGAGTGGATGTTTGTGGCTGCCAGCTGCCCCCACAAATGTGTCAAAAGATCTAATTCCCAGGCAGCCTCAGTCAGAAAGCTCTGAAAGGGTAACCTCCACCAGAATGAGGACATAAACTAAGGAAGAAAGTGACAAGGCACGTAGCAAGCAGGGACTCCAGTGTTGGAGGGGTGACCCAGCACCGTCGGGACTGGTCAGCTCACCAGAGAGCTGTGACCAGCTCCAGAGGACATGGAAAGTCTGGTTCGAGAGTTTGGGGATAGGTTGTTGATGGTACACAGAAATCTCAGGAAACAGGCGAGCACCAAGAGGCAAACTGAGTAACTTCAAGAAGAAGAAAGTTTTATAGGAAGTAAATGTGATCCTGGGACACTGGATGACTCATCAGGAATATTTATGTGTTGGAACAGTAATGTAAACATGGGATGCCGATTTAACAAAAATTGTAATGTAAGTATAGCAGCAGGGTGGAGGAGGGGAAATAGGCGATGGGTAGTTAAATCTTAATGGGAAGTTAAATTCTAATCTGCAAAGAGTCAATAGGTAACACCTAGAATAGAAAATCATGAATTTGTAGTATGCGCACATTATGCAGAAACGGGGGAATGAGCAGAAAATGACCAAGGCTGTGAACGCAGGCCTTAGGGTGGGGTGCAGACAGCTGCTCTTTCTTCCTAAGCCATGAAATACTCTTTGGTTTTTGAAATGATCTCCATGTGTTACTTTTATAAAAATGAAACTTACCTAAAAATGAGGGGAGGATATTTTGCCACAGTTTAGAAGGAAAAAAGAAGAGGCCGGTCTGTGGGTGGATGCACAAGGCGCGCCTTGCTCAGCTGAGACACAGGGAGAAAGAACTATGTGGGTGCATCCGTGCAGGTGGGCTGGGCTGAGGACGCGGTGGGAGGTTGGAGGCAAATGTTAACGTGAGAAACCAGTCCTCAATAATGGGTTAATCTCTCCACCTCTCAGATGTTACAGGGCACTGCCGCTGCTTCCTGCAGACTCCTCATAAATATTCACAGGTAGAAGCATAGACAGTCAGTCAGAAAGCACTTCCTGGTGGGGTGCGGCTCAGGGCCACCCCTTGGAGAGGTGCTGGCAGTGGAGGCCGCGCCTTGCCTTCCCCTGGGTTACCTGGGCCCAGAGCCTCCTGTCTCCTGAATTCCATGTCATGTGCAGCACCTGGAGGGTGAGAGTGGTGGTGGTGGTGTTGGGTGCATGTTTGCATGTGTAGCTTCTCATGCACGCATGAGTGTACAGGTATGCGCCGGTTTGCATGTACATGGGGGCATGTGCATGTGTGAATGGTATCTTTGGGTGGAGGGGAATGAATCAGTCCAGTCCACTCTTGCTCTCTGCACACAGGAATGGCTTCCTCCCTGCCCCATGTCTCTAGACCTGCCTCTTGGCCAAAGCTGTGTAGCCAGAAAAGTAAATCCTGGCACCCGTCCCCATCTCCCATCCCCATCTTCACGTTTTTCTTCAACAGGGTGCTTTGCATTCTCTCTCTCTCCTTCCTTTGACAAATCTACTCCTGGGTAAGACTCTGATAGGTTTGCATTTTTAGAAAGCATAAAGTGTTACGCTAAAGGAATGAATCTTTAATGGTGGAATTTCAGGTCTCCTCCTCTTAGGAGAGGTTGTATTTGTTTAGTTCTGGTTTGGTTTCATCAAGGATGCTTCCCTGCGTCCCAGGAGCCACTCTGAAGGCCCAGGATCCCTCCTGGACACTGTGGGCCAGGTCTATCTTCCCCCGCACAGTTGCCAGAGCATTCCTTGGAGCAAGGGTGGGGTCATCAGCTTCCTTTAGCTCCAAGATGGGGCCCAGACCTGGAGGGTCCGCTCTCTGCTCCTTTCTTCAGCCTGCCCCTCCCTTCCTGCCCCGCCCTGTCCAGGCACACCCTTCCCAGAGGGAGGTGGGGGGCACTCTGGGGCCAGGAGTGAGCCGCACCCACTCCTGCAGGGCTAAGGCTGGGCAGAGGACACCTGGGCCACGTCTGAGTCTGGTTTGACAGCAGTCACACATATCAGCTCTTACCTGGACCTGGAGTCCCCACCTCAGTGCGGGGCTGCAGCTACTCTCTCTGAGTGGAGGAGTGAACCCTCGCCCACCCTCAGCCCCAGGTGGGGGCTCCAAACACCCACCTGGGTGGGGGTGCTTTGTGTCCCAGGGCAGGCGGCAGAGGACATCCAGTGCTGTGCTCCCCACCCCACCGCACCCCTTCTCCCCCAGAGCAGCCCTATTTCAGGCCCCACGATATTCAGTCCAGGAAGGAGAAGAGGGAGAAGTATCTTTGGAGGGAGAGTTCCCCGTTTGGCCGTGCCAGTTGCGATGCGAGTCTGGGGGCACAGCTGGGTCCCTGGCCCTTCCTGGATCCAGTCTCCTTATCCTCAGCCATCTCTGGCCACCTGAGGGCTTGTACCTTTGTCTCCTGGGATGCTGGCACTGCTGACTGGCCTCCCCTGTCTGCCCAGGGTCCCATCAGGCCTACCGTGTGTTCAGTGTTGGTGTTCCTCACTTGAAGCCCCGTTGCCCTCCTTTTCCCATCACCAAGCCCAGCCCGTGGATGTCAGGACCCGGGCCCGACCCTGCAGGACGTGCCTCAGCCTGGGCCAGAACCCGTTCGCTGGGAATCCTCTCTGCCCTGAAGCGAGGCAGCCTGGCCCAGAGCCGCTACTGTTTCCAGAGCTGGCGGGAGGTTTGGCTGGCTACCCTCCTTTTCTCCTGCTGTGCTGCTGACCCCTGCTGGCCATCCTCACATACCCTTGAGCCCTCGCCTCCCTGCACAGGCATCTCTCCACAGGGCCCTGGTGCTTGACTGCTTCTGGGGATAGGGGCTCACCACCTCACTCAGCAGCCTGCTCCAGGAACAGATGCTTCTGCCTCTTAGACAAGTTCTTTGAAATCAGCTGAAGTCTGAATGCTAGTTACTTCCATCTGTTTATTCATAGTCATACCCTCAGGGGTCACACATTTTCTTCATCGTTATCAATACTGTCTATATACCTGACAACATGCATTATGTTATTCAATCCTTTTAACGCCTGTGAGGTTGACACCAGTGTCATTCCCGTTGTATAGATGGGAAACCAGAGGTCCAAAGGAAGAGTGTGTCATACAGGCAGGAAGTCTCAGAACCTGGGATTCAAATCCAGAGCCACTTTGGGGGGATCTTGGAGACCCAGATCTGTCCTTAGCTCTTGCTGATGCATGTTTTTATTTATTTAGTTTTTTAAAATCTTCGCCTGAGGAGATTTTTTTTTTCATTGCTTTTAGAGAGAGAGAGTAAGAGAGAGAAAGAGAGAAACATCAATATGAAAGAGAAACACTGATTGGTAACCTTCTCATATGCACCCGGCTAGGGATAGAATCTGCAACCCTGGTATGTGCCTTGAACAGGAACCGAACCTGCAGCCCTTTGGTCCACAGGATGACACTCCAACTAACTAAGCCACGCCAGCCAAGGCATTGCTGGGACATGTTTAAGGGGAGAGGCTGCCCAGGAGTACCCTGGACATTCCCAGGTGGACCATAAGCTGGGGCTGGGCTTGGGTGCCTGAAAGTTCCCTGCCCAAAGAGCAGCCTAACTGTAAGGGCTTGACTTCAGTGCTCTGACTCCCCAGCCCCGAGTTATCCTCCTCTACCTGTGTGGCGCACCTTTATTGATGCAGCACAGATCCCCCTCTCATTGCTGCTCATAGCACTGACCATCTTCCCTTGACCCCCAAGCCCACGCTGGAGCTCTGCCCCTGGACCTTTCCCCACACTCAGGCCTGGGGCCCCAAGTGCGGCATTTCACTCCCTCCCTGCTGTAAGCCACTGATCCTCCCCTGTCTCTCCAGCTGTGGAGACAGGGCACAAGTAAATAAATACAATGAAATAAAACGATTGTCACTGTTAAGTTTCATCTCATTTGATCCACCCTATCACTCCAGCCTGTCAACTTCTCCTTAGATCCCAGCTCTGTCATCTGGCATACTTGCCATCGTCCCCCACGGCTGTGTGGCATCTGCAAATTTGATAAAGTACATGGAGTGTGTTTGTCTCAGAGGAAGCCCCTCCTGCACTGGGTTGCTGGAGCACAGACGTGTGCAGGCACGTGCACACACGCGCACACGTGTGCACTCCCTCTCTCTGTGCAAGGCTCATCAGCCTTGTCCAGCTACCTGCAAGATCCCGATGGTGATCCTGGGACTCTGCTCCACAGAGGGACTGGGGCCCAGCAGCTACTGGTTTTGTACATGTGACCCTGTGGGGGATGGGACACTAAAGGGGCATCCATACTCACTTCCACTGGCTGCTGTTTAAACAGCCTTCGACCTGGCCGTGTCCTGTTGTCCTCTTTTACCTGGCCTGGGGCACAGCAGCCAGCTAGCCTGGGCCTGGGCCCTCCTGGCCAGCCAGGTGGCCTCCTTCCACTCTAAACATGTCAAACACGTCCTCCTTGGTGTGGTCTGGCTTCAGGGGGTGGGCCCAGTACAACCACGTGGGGTGAGGACTCCTGGTTCTTGTGCCTGCCGCTTGCCGCTTCTCCAATCCTTCTTGTCAGGGGACCCCAGAGCTTGCCTTTGCAGTAATTGCATGGCTGGGAAAGATCCGGATCCTCATTACAGAGCCCACCAGGCATCACCTTAGCAGAACAAAAAGATTCCAGGGTCTGGGCAGACCTTCCAGGGACTTCTAGTCCATTCCCTGCCACCAGGACTGGTGTTGGTGTGTGGAAGACTCGGACATGTTCCTGCACCTGCCCCACTGCGATGCAGTGGAGCTGCTCAGTCTGGCCGCAGGGGAAGGGGCAAAATATGGCTACCTCTGTCAGTGAGTCAATGCCAACAACAAATACCTCGGGATTCCTGGTGGCCTATAGCAGCATAGGTGGATTTCTTGCTCACACTACTGCATTGTGAATCAGCTCGGGGCGCTGGTCCCAGTCATTGTTGCTCTGGGACCCAGGCTGAGGCAGCAGCAGAGGAAGAGGCGGGTGTCCTTCCAGCTCCTAGGTTTTCTGCCTCTCAGTACCACTCATCACTCCCATTCACATTTCATTGGCTAAAGCCAGTCAGTCCTGTGGTCATGCCTAGTTTGAAAGGAGTAGGGAAGTCTAATCTTTTCTTGTGCCAGGAATTTTGGAAAGTGGCCTCAGTGACCACTCTGCATATGGGCTGTCCCTGTCCCTCAGGCCACCAAGTTCCCACCACACCACTCAAACGTTTGTTTGTCTCCAAGTCTAGTATGGAATGTTCTTCCACTTCCCGCTCTGGGGGCGGTGCTCAGGGTTTGGACTTTATCTCTCACCTGTTTTCCCTGCCGTGCTTGGCCTTCGTCGCCCCGTCTCAGCACTCAACCCCTCCTTTGAGAGGTGCTCCCCCGTCCTCCCACCTTCAGGACAGGGAGACCTGGGTTCAGTCCTGACCACCCTGCCCTATCCCCAGTGACTGGCCTGCAGGTGGGCCTCCTTCCCCCGTCTCCTGTTGGGAAACGCCCTGTCTGGTTTCAGGAACTGTAACCTCGCTGACAGGCGGGAGGGCCCGAAGGCTGGAAATAATCAGGGAGGCCTTGGAGAAACAGGCTCCTGAGGAGACATAGCCTGTCCCCCCTGGCAGGGGTATGGCTCCTGTCTCTGCTTTGCCATGTGAGGATCGGTAATCCATGCCGGGTAAGTTATCTCGTGCTGAGATGACGACCTAAGACAGATACAGATCGGGCATCGGCAGCAGACAGGAAATTGGGGGACACGGAGAAAAGGCAAAAAGGCCTGTGCCCCTCAGCTCGGCTTGGACATGGCCAGGGACTCATTCTATCTGAAAGAAGTCTCCTTGTCTCTTGGCGGCTTCCTCCCCGTGCCTGGCTCAGGCTCGAAACAATACCTGAGTCAGTTCTAAACCAGATCTGGCGGTTCCCAGGGAAATCAGGCCTGAAAGAAAATTCTTTAAAGTGTGCTTTGTTCTTCCCTCAGAAGCTCTAGCCAGCTCATGCTGGGAAGGAAGTTTACATTATTCACAGACCCTAACCCTATACCGTTAGGCACTCTTATGTTTACTACGTTCTCATGTTTAGTCGTCTCTCTTGTTTACTAGTCTCCTCTCGGACCCATGTAAATTGGTGTGTTCCTGCCGTTTGTTTTCTTCAAAACAGCCAGGTGAACAGTAATGTTTACCCATTCTCTGTGAACATTAACAT